TTTTTTGTTTTAGTATTTTGAAGTTGACCAATTGTTACTATAAGCAATTAATGATTATAGATGATCTGCACCGTAAGATGTGGTTATCAATGTCAATTATAGTTTTAGATTTAGCTAGAGAATATTTAATAGCTGATGCAGCCAAGTTGACTTCAGAAACATATCTTTTGTATCTTGCCCCATAAATTGCATCGGCTACTACTGCACACCTAAAAAGTTTTTCACCTTCAAGTTGCTCCTTCTCAGTTTCATTTCCTATAAGTGTTTCAACAAATTTAACCACAACTGGATTGCGTTTGGAAAGCCATTCAGAAGGTGAATATTTTAAAAGATTGTCCAAAGTAAATCTTTCCTTATTATCTATTAAATTGATGATATCATCATATAATGTTTTATGTTCCTTCCTGGCAATTTCAGTAATAATTTCAATTCTTGATTGACAATCATTGAGTTTTACATCCAATCTTTCTTGTAATTTTTTATTTTCTGATAATAATTTTTCCCTATCCAATAATAATCTTTCATTATCTGACTCAAGTTCATTTATTTTTTTCATATACTGACTTATAAGATTTACATAATGTATTCTTTGATTTTCCGATTCAAATAATTCATTTTTTATTTTTGATAATTCTATTGAAAGGTTTATGTGTTCTTGGTCTTGTTCCTCTTTTTGAGTTGCTGCATCTTTATCAATAGTCATTTTAAGTCGTTTTGGTTGGCCTTCTTCCGAAGAACTAAAAATAAAATTATCTTTCTTTAATTTCTCAAGTAAATGATCATTAGTAACAATTTGATTATAATGTCTCACACAGATGGAATAATTATCTAAAGAATTAATTAATGAAAATAATTCAGTAAAATACTTAGCAAATAGTTTTAAACGGTCTTTTACTTTATTTATTCCCTGTTGCATTTTTAACATATTTATCAGTATTAGAGGAACATAGCTTCAAATGACTCTCTGGATATTTGTCAACAAGTGCAGCAAATAAGCAGGGTAAATCACTAGCAATAGGTCTTGTCGTTTTATCCACTAAAGTTCAAAGAGAAAAAAAAAAAAAACTTAAATTTAAACGCGTAGCACTTAAATTTCTTTAAATTTATGTAAAGGCTTACTTTGAACAAATTAATAGGTTTTTGTAGATTTTTAGTAGATTATGAAAAAGCAAGTTCAATACTGTTTATTTTGATTATTATTATTATAATTAAAAAAAAAAAAAAGATTTTCAAAAGGCAGCAAAATATCACGTTAACTCGTTCGCCACACATATGAATTGATCGACAAAGGAGTTCCAATTTTTCTAGATTCGATTTCCAAATTTGGACTATATAACCTCCCCAAATTTTTCGAAAAAGGGATAATAATAAAGGTTTGATGTCGATCACCAAATTGTAAAATTTATCACAAAAAATATAAAGCAAACCAGAACTTCAAACGACCATTAAAGCAAGGTTCTAACTTAAATTTTGGTTGCTCTACGAAAGGTTGAAAGTATTTCTTTCATCTCAAGACTAGTAGAGAGAATAAGCCAAAAAACAATGCGTTAAAGTGTGCTCTACAAAGTCATTGTTAAAGGCTAGACTAGAAACCTTTTGACTTTGTAAGAATTGAGATTCTAGTTGACGTAAAATAATAAATAACAATTCCAATTTTAAATGTCATTAATATTATCATTAAATTATTAAGCGAGTAGGAACTGCATTAGTGAATAATAAGAGTGTAATTATTATTACTATGTTAAATGCATTCAGAATTATTCACTTTCAATTTAAAAATGATATTAATATATTATTAAATAATTTATTGATTCGACAATTTGTTATTATATGTCGATTAAGAAGATGATTCTCTGTTTTAAATTTGGTGTTAACTGTGGTTTTTGAGCGTATATATATATGTTATACATTAAACCTGTTCCACAAGTTAATCGAACATAAACTTTCAGTTACACAATGTACTTTGATGATAATATTGACCTCTTTTACCAATGACAATATACATATTTATTTACATTAAACAATTAAAAAAATTTTTTATTATTTATAACATCTCTCCCATTAACCCATCTCTTTTTTTTAATAATTCTTTAAATCAATAGAGTAATTCATAATTTTATAGATAGACAAATTAATATAGATAAATTTAAAATATAAAACAAAATGGGTTTATCAATTTCAAAACTTCTTCAAGGTCTCTTCGGTAAGAAAGAGATGCGCATTTTGATGGTGGGTTTGGATGCTGCTGGTAAAACCACCATTTTGTATAAACTCAAGTTAGGTGAAATTGTTACCACCATTCCTACTATTGGTAAGCCATATATACACTCAATCAATTAATAATAATTATTATAATAATTAATAAATTAATAATAATGAATTCAAATTTTCTATTTATTTTCTAAAGGTTTCAATGTTGAGACAGTAGAATATAAAAATATTTCTTTTACTGTTTGGGATGTTGGAGGTCAAGATAAAATACGGCCACTTTGGCGTCATTGTAAGCTGTTTTTAATATTTTTTATATGGTGTATATTTAGTATATATATATCATATATATATATATATATATACATTTATATAGCATAATATAATATCTTTACCACAAAAGCATCTTGACCATGCACATCCATTCATATATCTATTAATCACTGACTCGCCCATCATCAATCATTATTACAGATTTCCAAAATACACAAGGTATTATATTTGTAGTTGACTCAAATGATCGAGAACGTATTTCAGAGGCAAGAGAAGAACTTCAACGTATGCTTAATGAAGATGAACTTAGAGATGCACTTTTGTTGGTATTTGCCAATAAACAAGATTTACCTAATGCAATGAATGCGGCAGAAATTACTGATAAACTTGGACTCCATTCTCTTCGACAACGTCATTGGTATATCCAAGCTACATGTGCTACAAGTGGCGATGGTCTTTATGAAGGATTGGAATGGTTAAGTACTAATTTGAAACGAAAAGTTTAAAACTTTTAATGATAGTGTAGAAGATTCAAAATTGGAAATATAAATAGAAAAAACATGAAAAAATATAAATTAGATTTATAAAAATTAAGAAAAATTATTAATTAATTATCAGTTATTGTGTAATATTAATAAAAAATATATTTAATTATTTAACTAATAATATCTATTATTATTAACTACAGTTATTACCATTTTAATAATAAAATTTTATTTAAATCAAAACTTTTGAATCTTTAATTCATTGTTAATTTTATTATTTATTATTAGAAATACTTTACTATTAATTAAAAGTATTTAAAAACAATATACAGTATATATTTTTACATATATTTGATAGAACACTTTTTATTTTATTATTTTAATTTTTTAATAAAGAATTCTTTATCAAGGATATAAGAATATAACAGTAATATGATTATCTTTTATATATCTCAATTGATTGACCAAATTTTCCTTTCAGAATAATTCACACCGGAAAATTTTTAAAATGTCAAGTCATTGGATTCTTTTCTAATAAATCTTTATTGAATCACATCATCAGTAATTTTTCATTTTCTTTTTGCTGACTATTTGAATCTCTATGATAATCAAAATTCAATGCGTGAGGAGTATCGAGGAAAAAATCTTCATTATTCTTATTTTAAAATTCTTGATCCTTCCAGTCACTTTTTTATTTGTTTCAAACAGATCTGAGCATAAGTTTCAGTTGCCAGTTTTAAAAGACATTACTATACGTTGTAATGAATTTTTTTAGTAAGAATTGTTCCCAAAGAAACTTCCGTTACTATTGCTACTACCTGTTCCAATTGCTTTAATTCCATCTAGGTTATGTATATGATTGATGTATTAATAACGCCTCTCGGTTATGTATAACTCGAAACCTTTTCTTTTCAAAAATCCATTTTTTGATAATAAAATAATCAAAGAACGCGCGTTTTTTATAAAGCTGTCGTACACATATCCAATGTTTCACCGGATTAACGATCCTCGCTCATAGAAGATAAGCTGATGTAAAATGTGGTCGTGGACCAAGTATTAAAATGGAAAAAAAGGAAGGAACAACAATGAAAAGTTTTAAAGAAAATTGTTACACGTACGTACAATCGTTAACGTCTTATGATCAATTCAACTCAAAAAAATATAAACATTTAATAAATAACTTGTGTCTCGATAAATAGTTAAATAAATAAACAATGGATTAATAAAGGAAAAAAATTAATTTTAATATTTTGCCTTATGATTTATTTATTTATTGTTTATTTTATCAAAACCCAAATTCAATCTAATATTTAGAAAGCAAAAAAAAAGAAGTTTAAACAAGAGTTTTTATATTATCAGTTATCTTATCTCCCTATATAAATAGAAACGCGCGTACAATGTTTTTTACGAAAATATATAAATAATCAAATAATTTATTATTTATATTATTTATGAATTCATTCTTTAAAAATTTTCTAAATAATTTTTTTCAATCTTTTAATAAAAAAACAATATTTGTAATAATGACTTCTATTTTGCTTTTATCACCAAAACTTTACACTTCAACTTTTCCTTACGAAAACAACAAATCTTTTTCTTCTAAAGAAAACTCTTATCGGGAAAAATCTAATAATAATAATAATAGTAGTAGTAGTAAAAATAGTATTAGCAATAATAATATCATAAAATATTCAGCTACAACAAATAATATTAGCATTAATTATCCACCAAAAAGTAACAATAATCGCAATGCATTTATAGAATCTGCGTCTGCATCATTTGTGTCATCGTCATCATCTGCATCATCTGCATCATCTGCATCACCTGCATCGTCATTAAAACCTTTAAATTTTTATCGATATTCACCAACTTGGTCAAATAATAATAACTATAACATTGTAAAATATCCATCTGCATTTACACCCACACCTTTATATTCAACATCTGCACCTAATTCTACATCCAAATCATACTCAACATTTTTATCATCTTCACCCCCACCTTTTCCATCATCGTATTTATTATCATCATCATCGCCTATACATAATAATAGAAGAAATAATTACAATACAAATCATAAAAGCAAAAAAGAGAATAAAAATAGGAATAAAGCTTCATTTGAGTCAATTCTAAATAAATCTCTTAAAAATGAAAGAGAATTAGAAATTGCTTTATCAAAATTAAGGAATTTAATATTAGTTCGAGAATTACCAACACCAGAAGATTACAACAATAAAAATCATATCCACAATCATGTTAATAGTAATTTATCACATTCTATACCTACATATTCATCAATTAGATCAAGATTATGGAAATGTTTTCTTGGAGTTTATTATTTATCAGTCGATGAATACACTGGATATTTAAGAAAAGGAAAATCTTGTGTTTATGATAAGATTAGGGATGACACTTTTAGAACTTTGGCTACTGATCAAAGGTTTCTGACAAAAGTTAATGAAGAAATGTTAATTCGTTTATTGAATTCTTTTGTATGGAAGATGAATTGTAAGTATTTATATTATGTGCAACTGTTATTATTTATGTTTTTTTTGCATTAATTAATTAATGTATCATTAATAATTAAAAATTAGATTCTGGTAATAAAGAAATCACATATGTTCAAGGAATGAATGTATTAGCAGCACCTTTCTTATTTGTGATGCCAGAATTAGATGCATTTTATTCATTTTCAGCGTTTATTCAACATTTTTGTCCATTATATGTCACACCTAATTTAGAAGGTGTTCATTCTGGATTAAAGGTAAATAAATAAATTGTCATACATAATAAATGTATAAAATATATATCTACATACATTATATTGATTTAAAATTGATATTGATTTAGTTGTTGGATAAATGCCTAGAAATTATTGATTCAAATTTATTCATTTATTTAAAATCGAAAAATCTTACGGCTGAAATTTATGCATTTCCATGTAAGCACATATTTGGAAATAATTAATAGATTTATAATTATTATAATATTTATTTATTTTAATTTTTTATTTATTAGCTGTTCTTACGTTCTGTGCATGTACACCACCACTTGATCAAGTATTGAAACTTTGGGATTTTTTATTTGAAGTGAAAAGGAATGTTGTTTTTTGAATAACTATACATAGTAATAGTAATAGCTTTACAAAAACGATTAGTTACACGGATATTTTAAATGAATGATCAACTGCGTTGACTGATATAATATTAATTTGGATGCTAAAAGGACGGGCCACATCCGCCCGTCCCTTTTTAGCATCTCAAATTAAGCAAAGGGATAATAATAAATAATTTAATATTAATATTAATATTAAGTAATGTTGCGTTTTTTTTTGCAACTAGTCACGTTATTGGGGATACTTTGTATAGTAGTAGATGGTTACTAAAATATGAACCCTGAAATTTTTGACTTCACTTTATTAATATTAATATGAATGAATTAACTCCTCAGTCTTCAGCTGATGCATTAGAGCTTAACCAAAAGACAATAATAATAGAAGGCGGTAACGATGACAATGACTATAACTATAACAATGAGGAAGGAGAAAACGTAGAGTTGAATCAACGACGAGTAAGATTTAGTAGAGAAAATAGTCATCGCCGTCGTCAATCAACAACAACAGCGAGTTATCAGTTGAATGAACAAAGCTTTTTTCGCTCGGCTAGTAGAAATAGAACATTGAAAATGGTGTTGTTGACACAGTGTATAGCAGGGTAAATTGAATAATTAAATATGATAAAGTTAATTCGTAAATTTTTAAATTGAAGTTTAATTAATATCAATTAATTTATTATTTTCTCCTGACAGATTACAATTTACTTGTAGGTAAATTTATATGAATTATTCTCTTTTTTTAATCAATCGTTCAATAAATGTATACAAATATTAATAATCATTTTAATTTATTTTTTATTATATAAAATATAGGGGCTGTAGAATTGTCATATGGTAATTTATTGATTTGAGTGAATGAGATAGTGAGTGGATGAAATGAGTGGAAAGTGATATTTATTTATACGCGTATATTTACGTATTTGCATGTTTATTAGGGACACCATATCTGCTTTCAATTGGACTTTCTAAATCACTTATGTCTTTAGTATGGGTTGCAGGTCCACTTTCAGGTACACTTTTTTCATATACATGTATATTTATTTGTATATGAATATATGTAATTTGTATATAATTAATTATCATAACTTTTTAGGATTATTGATGCAACCTATAGTTGGAGCGCTTTCTGATAATTCAACATCAAGATTTGGTAGGAGGCGACCATTTATGGTGATTGGGAGTCTTATAGTGGCGATAGCATTAATGTTTATTGGCTGGACACAAGAAATTGTTTACAGTCTTGTTGATGAAGAATCACCTACAGTAAATTTTATACATCAATAATATAATTGAATAATATAATATGAGTCTATAATTTTAAAAAAATTTTTTTTCCTTCTTAGTCACTAACATTAAAGAAAATTTTGGCGGTATTTTCTTTTTATCTTTTAGATTTTGCTATTAATGCGAGTAAGTATAAATAAATTAAATGAAATTTGCACAACAGATCAATAATAATTTGCCAAAAAAAATTTTTTTTTTTTTAATAATTATAATATAATATATATATACACGTATTAATAAAGTTCAAGCCAGTTGTCGAGCACTTATTGTTGATAGTTTATCCACTTCGCAACAAGAAGAGGGTACAGCATGGGCAGGAAGAATGATTGGAATTGGTGGTGTTGCAGGCTATTTCATGTGAGTCACATATGTGCATATATATTTCTATGATTTTATTATTTATTATTTTATCAATAATATGTATCTAATTTCGAATTATTAGGGGATTTATTGATTTACCAGCAGTATTCCCATTTCTTGGCGGAACACAATTACAAGTTTTGTGTGCACTAGCATCAATAATTCTATTGAGTTCTATCGGAATAACTTGTTGGACTATTAGCGAAAAGGTTCTTCAAAGAAGGTCAGTTATGTATATAGCTAATTACAACATTAATTACTATTATCATTTATATTAATTGTCATTATTTTATTATATTGTAATAGCGATGAAACCAAGAATCCATTAGTCGAGGCATTTGAAGTGCTGGCGACGATAATTAAATCATTTCGAAATTTACCTAGGACAGTTCGATTATTATGTACAACGCAATTTTTTGCATGGATTGGATGGTTTCCATTTTTATTTTATGCAACAGTATGGGTGTCAGAAGTATATAATCATAGTAGCAGCAGCAGCAGTAGTAATAGTGGTAATGTTGTTGTTGTTGGTAATGGCGATGATAATGAAGAAGATAAGTTGGGGGATTCTACAAGAATTGGATCGCTTACTTTATTGATTTATTCAATTGTCAGTATGATGGCTTCCGTTGTACTACCATTCCTGGTAAATCCATCAGACTCATCATCGTCAACAACAGCATTATCAAATTCTTCCGCAACCATAACATCAAAAATATTTAGATTGCCAATTCCATGGCTCACTTTGCCAAGACTATGGACGATATCACATTTTATATTTGGAGGTAGCATGTTATTAACGTTGTTCGTCACAGAAGTTTATCAAGCAGATTTTCTATTTAGTTTAGTTGGAATATCATGGGCAGTTTCCATGTGGGCACCATTTTCCATATTAGGGGAGGTCATATCAAGTCAATCGAGATTATCATTAAATAGTGATAATTACGATGATGATGGTGATGAAAGTTATGAAGCACAAGAAATGAGTTATAAACCTGTTAAATCTGTTAAAGTGGAAGAAGATGAAGAGGATGAGGACTATCATGACACAAACGACACAAACGATAATAATATTGATAGCAGTGACAATAATAACAATAACAATAGCAGTAGCAGAAGTAATGGCAAAATTATAGACAATAATAATGATGATGATATTGATAATAATGACAATGATATCGATAATGAAATTAATAATATCAACAATAATAATAATAGCGCGGTATTTACAGATGCAGGCATAATATTAGGTATACATAATATTTTTGTAGTGGTGCCACAATTTCTAGTGACATTTATTAGTAGTGTAATATTTGCAATATTAGAATCAAATAATAATGACGGTGGAGGAAGAAGTGATAGCATTGGATTTATGTTAAGATTTGGAGGAATTATGGCAATATTTGCAGGATTCCTCAGTATTAGATTGTGGAAATAATTCATTTGGTTAAATTTTTTTTTTTTTTGATGATTTTAATTATTTTTAAAAATAATTTTACGTTTAATTTACAATTTTTTTTTTTTTAAATCAAAAATAAATATCTAAAAAAACAATTATTTCTCCCTGATCTACAGTATAATTATCAAAACGCCAATATCTCTCATTTTACACCTTTTATTAAATTTGTATTTTGTGATAATTCTATTATCCTATTAATTGATCTATTGTTTCTACTAATATTACAATTACTATTGTTATTATTATTTTTAATTCTTTTTGCCCAATTTCTCATTTCTTCACACATATTGGGTGTAACACAAACATCTTTTAATTCACTCCAATAATCGCTGCTATTACTAGTATTTGTTGCACTTTTCTCCAGACATTTAAATGTTTCTTTTTTAAGATTAGTACAACCAATAAATTTTAATACTTGTAATTTACGACAATTTAATATACTTGTCAGAGAATCATTATTACAATCATTGAAATCCAAATATTCTAGAATCAACGTTTGAAGTGAGTGAGATTGATAGATTAAGGATGGAAGGATTAATTCTGTGAAACATTCGAAACCGTATAACTCGAAATGTTTTAGATTTGTTTGGGAAGAGATGAGAATTGCAAGATTTTGCGATTCAATTTTTTTTTTATTATTATTATTATTATGAGCTATAAAATTTGACATATTGATCCTCAATGTTTCCTAATACAATAAATAAATAACAATTATTAATTAATATATTTAATATAAAAGTAATTGTAATTGTAATTGTAATTTTAAATAAATACCAAGTTTTTGCAGACATCTTTTAATTTAAAGAATAAATTGTCTTGACAAAAATTCGCTTTAACAATTAAATTTTTAAGATTTTTAAATAATAAACGGTCATTCTTGTCTTCATTATTATACCATAATAGATATTCTTCATCACCCAATGAACAAGTTGTTTCATCATCTGTATCAATTATCAGTGAAGTTATGATTGAATTGTTATCATAAAATAATTTCAAAAATCTTTTAATTAAATAATTTTTGGATTTTTCTTGTTGTAGTTCCAAAACCAAAGCTTTGTCATTGACAGAAGTTGGTGATCTTGGTATTGATAAGACACCATCATTGCAAGTTATATCTGAAGATTGATCAAAAGTGTATAATGAGCTTAAGGATAGAAATCTTTTGATTGACACTATCAAACCATAATAATCCAAGTGTTTTAAATATGAAGGATAATTAAACAAAGTGGAAGGGGTTGCTTGGGAGATCGAGGGAGACAAATTGAAAGGAGTGGAAGTGGAATGATCGTGTAAACTTGATAGTGATGATGATGGTGATGATGGTGATGATGAAATATCATCTCCATCTTCACCTCTATTTCCATCTTCATTATATTTAATATATTTTAAATAAGTCTCAATTAATTTTTTTGTATTGATGAATTGATAATGACTAAAGGTGTTGGAGTAAAGAAGAGGAATGGCATTTATACACCAATGCCGACTAACGAGACAACATGAATGTAAGGTTTTTAAGTTTATTTTTTGATTGGTAAACGTTGAAGAAGGAAAGTATGACGAAGAGGATGGTTTTAAATTGTGATCGAAATGAGAAAAAATTTGACAAAGTAATTCCGATGGTAATGAAATAAAAGAAATATTGTTAGTGTGTGAAGGAGGAGGAGTGATGTCGATGGATTGTTTAGTAGTAAACATTGTTTTCTTAAAGAACGAAATGGAATTATTTATAAAAAAAATAAGAAAATTTAAATTTTGAAGTTTTTTTTTTGTGGGGGAAAAAAAAATAGGAAAATGACCTTTATTTATTTTTATTTTTTACTATTATTGTTGCCATTATATACATTATATTACAAAATGAATATATTTTTTAGCCAAAAACAAAAAAAATAAAAAAAATAATGCTTATATAGTAATATTAATAACAATTATATTAATTATATTAACTAATTAAATTAATTGATTTTGTGAACACAAGAAAATTCAATTCAAAAAAAACCGAATTTTACATAAAACAACTTGAATATCATCATTTGGTTTAGAAAAGACATTTTTTCTTAATTTTTAAAAGCTCAATGTCAGTCAAATTTTACCAATTGGCTTTCAACTTATTATATTTACAACCAAATATACGAATGTCACATATATTGTGAGGGGATGGATTTTTGCATTCATGTAATAAAATTACACACATTGGTATCACATGGATTTTCTGATCGCAGAAGAAAACTTTAAAATATGATTGATTTGATTTGATTATATAATTCAACAAATAATGAACACGTAATTTCCATTGTTTATTGTGAATTACACATCGTACATTATCATACACAAAGATAGATTTACAATAAATATTAACTTTCCCATTCATTTTCTATGTGCCGGTCTGTATGCGATAGTGATTTAAATGAATCTAAAAACTTCAGGGGACAAAATCGTTCAATGTCACAGTCGATAATTATTTTCATCCAAAATAGAAATTCATACTGAGTTCCCAGTTTGTGATTATTATTATTACTATTACGATGTAATCTGTGATATTCACGAATATCAGGATTTTATTAAAAACGTGTGTAGATCGCTTGATGTAACCCATCTGTCAAGGCCGTATTTTCACATGACTTTTTTTTCGATATCAATTGACATTTCTAGAGACACGGATTCCTGAAAGTCCATAAAAATAAAATATCCCACATAATAATAATAACAATAAAATAATTCTGAAAGTTTCATGGAAAACCAAAAAAAATTTTTTTTGACAAAGTTTTGTGTATATTGAAGAAAAGGATTTACTACATATATACAAACAAAAAATTCACAGTGAATTAATGTATATATTCTGCCAAACAAAGTTCATCAAAAGGAAACCCTTACTAAACATTAAGGTTATTATTTTTGAATTTTTGATTTTCAATGTAATAAATTTTCCTTCATATTAGTGGATTTTAATGAATATCTCAAAAACTATGTTATTTTGTCTGGGTGTAAATATCATTGGCACTAATTCTTACTTAACCTAATTCTATTTGTTTCAATAGCTTTTTTCTTGTTGTAAATGGCTTATGTATTGTTCTTTCCTTGTCTGGTTTTTGACTTTCAAAAAAAATTTTTTTTTGACTATTCTCACTTTTTATACTATTCACTTTCTACAATAGTAGCATCATTTTTAATGAATTGCCATTTTTGTTTGCCACTGAGGCATCTTCTTTTGATTACCATGAACTCTTGATATAAGGCCATTCATTTTTATCAGATGATTTCTTATATGTTCAAAATTAGACACATGGCAATCAATTCCCAGGATATTGCTCCATTGCTCTGAGCAAGCTGAGATATTAAGAAAATGTCTATCTCAAAGGGCTTCACATAATACAGAAAACTCTTTTTGGGAACTGCAACCCACTTTCAAAAAATGCTTTTGCCTTTTCATATTCGGTAGAACCATTATATGTATGTATAACATGTAATTTACATCACAAGCTACGAGAGCAAAATATGTGGGTTGTACAAAAAGTTTTGAGAAAATACATGCACTTGATGATCTTTTCTTTAATAAAAGTAAAAATGGGAATAAAAAACCCTTAAGCCACAATCTTTTAAATAAATAAATAAAAAATCATTCAAATTGAGTCATTTATTGTTAATTTATAAATTTTTAAAGTTTGCCCAGTAGAAACAAATGGAAAATTCAAAACATGAATACCAAAGATACTACATTTTTATCATCTTCACCCCCACCTTTTCCATCATCGTATTTATTATCATCATCATCGCCTATACATAATAATAGAAGAAATAATTACAATACAAATCATAAAAGCAAAAAAGAGAATAAAAATAGGAATAAAGCTTCATTTGAGTCAATTCTAAATAAATCTCTTAAAAATGAAAGAGAATTAGAAATTGCTTTATCAAAATTAAGGAATTTAATATTAGTTCGAGAATTACCAACACCAGAAGATTACAACAATAAAAATCATATCCACAATCATGTTAATAGTAATTTATCACATTCTATACCTACATATTCATCAATTAGATCAAGATTATGGAAATGTTTTCTTGGAGTTTATTATTTATCAGTCGATGAATACACTGGATATTTAAGAAAAGGAAAATCTTGTGTTTATGATAAGATTAGGGATGACACTTTTAGAACTTTGGCTACTGATCAAAGGTTTCTGACAAAAGTTAATGAAGAAATGTTAATTCGTTTATTGAATTCTTTTGTATGGAAGATGAATTGTAAGTATTTATATTATGTGCAACTGTTATTATTTATGTTTTTTTTGCATTAATTAATTAATGTATCATTAATAATTAAAAATTAGATTCTGGTAATAAAGAAATCACATATGTTCAAGGAATGAATGTATTAGCAGCACCTTTCTTATTTGTGATGCCAGAATTAGATGCATTTTATTCATTTTCAGCGTTTATTCAACATTTTTGTCCATTATATGTCACACCTAATTTAGAAGGTGTTCATTCTGGATTAAAGGTAAATAAATAAATTGTCATACATAATAAATGTATAAAATATATATCTACATACATTATATTGATTTAAAATTGATATTGATTTAGTTGTTGGATAAATGCCTAGAAATTATTGATTCAAATTTATTCATTTATTTAAAATCGAAAAATCTTACGGCTGAAATTTATGCATTTCCATGTAAGCACATATTTGGAAATAATTAATAGATTTATAATTATTATAATATTTATTTATTTTAATTTTTTATTTATTAGCTGTTCTTACGTTCTGTGCATGTACACCACCACTTGATCAAGTATTGAAACTTTGGGATTTTTTATTTGCTTATGGGGTACACTTGAATATTTTATGTGTTATTGCTCAACTTGTGTTAATGAGAAATCAATTATTGGAATCTCCAAGGTAAATTATATAAATGTACAAATATAATATTTATGTAAAAAATTATTTATATATCTAATCCTAAAATATTTTTATTTAGTCCAATGAATTTATTAAGAAAAATGCCAGAATTAAAAGCAAAGCCAATAATAAATTTAACATTACAACTTGTTCATCAAATACCAAAGGATTTGTATGATTTATTAGTTAGACATCCAATTGAATTTAGTGAAATTTGATTGATATATTTATAAATTATTATATACACTACATATTTTATATGTTTGTCAATAATTTACAAAAACAAATAAATAAATGTATTTTATATCAAGAAATTCCTAAATAAACATCTACCTTTATTCCTTATTCTTCAATTTCACTAGATATTACAGATCTAATTCCTCTATAAACTTGTTTAAGAATATATAACTTTGGTAATAGATTCTACTTGATTTTTTTGAGGAAAAAATAAAAAAGTTGCAATTAATTTTGCCAAATTTCTAAAATAACCTCAATAATTAATTAATTTACCTCAAATACAACCACCATTCTATCCTGATTTTCGACGACTAATGCTAAATAGAATTTAACTTGTAACATTGTTATACCTTCATTTATTATGATATTTGATATTTTAGAAATATCAATAAATTTTGACACGCATCTACCATCCATATACACAGTCTTAACTTGTATTCCTACATCTTTAACTACCAATATGCTCTCTATTTATGGTTGATTGATTGTGGCAAAATTGATTGATATATATATGTAATTGACATAATATATCTTTATCTTTATATCTTTATAACTTTACATCTACATACATTATTATTATGCATTTACCTTCTTTAACCATATTAAACTTTGACCAAATCCATATCACTAACATTATTATACATATTCCATATGACACCCTGGTTTTGTTCTGTCAGTTAAATTACAATAATAATAATAAATAAATTAATTAATTACTTAATATTTTAATTAATAATGATAAATTTATTTACTCACCAAAAAACTTATAAAAAATGCAAGAATAAGTGCAAATATAATATCAGAAATTCCAAGGAATGATTTATTGGACAATACTATATATTCTCTTGCATTGTCGGCTAACAAATTACATAAAAAATATTGATCATTATTTTTGTTATTATTATTATCATTGATGGATATTTTATTATTATTATGATTATTATGTGGATTTATTACATCTTGTATTGCTGTTGTTGGGAACGACGCTAAAGTATTATTATTGTTGTTGTTATTATTAATAGTAGTAGTATCAATATTATTTATAAATGTTGACATTATTTTTTATTATTATTATTTGAAAAAATTGGAATTCACAAAAATTACAAAACGATTTCACTCACAAAATTTACACTTTACAAAATGATTTTAACTACTTTGCTCAAAACTTTCAAATGTAAGCTGCTACTATAAAGTTTTTATTACTCGTGATCCTTAGCTTTTACTGACCATCTTCTGTATTTAGATGAATGATATTCATACCATAAATGACGAAAATGATAAGGAAGATGATGTAAACGAAGCCAGTGGTATTGACAATGAGCCTGATGATAGTTCATTGAAAGATATATACACTGGAAAAACATTTAAATCATTCAAAGTACTTGAAAAATGTTTGAAACGATATGCAAACCAAACGGGCTTTGAGATTAGAACAGTAATATCTGAAAAAGAAGATGGTACCTGGTCCAGAAAAACGCATAAACGTATCATGGGGGCAAATATGAATATAAGAAAAGTGGATCCTACACATAACCGAAACCAAGAATCAGTTTGTATTGAACGTGGATTCCTTGTAAATATAACATATTGTAAGCGTCTGAATCTGATATTTTTTAACCAATTCGTTAGCGATCATAATCATGCATTACAAAGTGCATCTGTACTTCACTGTATTACGCAAGATACCAGACAATATCATGGAAGAGGTACAATTCTATGTTAAAAAGTGTCATCTGGTGCTACTGTTTTAAAGAGTGTACCATGAAAAAAATATCCTGATCAAGATATCTACAATCAAAAACTTTACAATACAATATGTAATTAAAAAAATAATTATCAGCAAAAGATAAGCCAGAAGAATTCATTGAATTATTACAGGAAATGGATGGTTGATGTAAAATATTATGAAGGCCCAACCATATTTTAATTGAAAAATCCTGAAAAGCAAAAAGGTAAAGGTAGATCAACAACTAAACAAATGAAATCATCATTGGAACAAGATTGTATGAAATAAAACACAAAGATGATGCAAAAATTGTGGTGAAGTTGGGTTTATCAGAAAAAATGTGAATTATAGATGTTGTGGTTTATTTTTTTATTTGCTGATACATAATGTTTTCAATTGTATGTTAATTTAATGTTGTGTTATTGTAATACTACGAAATAATTGTTTGGTGTGTAGTTCACTCTATCATCTTTGTGTATGCAACACTTGGTTATATGTTTGTTTTTGATTATGGTGTATATGTTGCTGTTATAAATGATTGGAGTGTCTGGTTGCAGGGGCGAGGATTTTTCATGGTGAAAAAACATTCCAAATAATAGAATGATATTAGCACTTAACCAATTTTAGATATAATTCTGCTTTGTTAGTGTTGAAGAGCATCATCCTTGTTGTTAACTGTAAGACTTGCACAACAAGTTATATCTAAAATATTGTAAATAATGCAAAATTTTTGCCCGTATATATGGTTACAACGCAGTGGGTGGCGCTAGGTTATAAAATTATGAATTGAAAAAAAAAAAGGGTATGAAGAAAAGGAAAGTAAAAATGAATTAGTAGAAAAACCACAAAAGCAAATCGTGAATAAATCAAAGATATATATTATATAAATCTAACAACATTTTTCTTGTCTGGTATTATTTCTTCTTGTGTAGGGAGCAGTGTTGAACAATGTGCCATCATATCAGTTGAAATGTCCAAAATGAAAGAACGATGTGCAATGGTACCCGGGAATGAAGATGAAGCAGTTAAAAAGGTACAGTTCACTCTTTTATAACGGAACTTGCTTTATAACGTACTGAGAATTTAAGCCCAATTAATATCAACATTAATATATAAATTATTATATGTCCATATTATGTATACAGTGCGGATCATCTATACTCAAAAGTTAAAATTTTTGAAATATTATGTGATACACACATTAGATTTTAAAAAACTTACCACCATTCAATTCAGCTTTAAAAGGGGAGTCTATTAATATATATAAAAAAA